TTTTTATTGTATAGAAATACCCACATTTTCTTTATCCATTCATCCATCAATGGACACTTAAAGGTGTTTCCATATTTTGGCAATTGTAAATAATGCTGCAGTGAACATTGGGGCTCATATATCTTTTTGAATTAATGTTTTTTTCTCCAGCTATTTACTTTTGATCTGTATGTGTTTTTTGTTTTTTTTAAGATTTTATTGGGGAATTGGGGGAGGGGAATCAGGGAACGGGAACAGACAAGTTGCTGTCCTTTTGTTCTTCAGTCTAGTTGTGGAGGACATCACTTTATTGGCCCGTGTTGGTATTATTGCGCTCTTCCCGGGTGAGGCAGATCAGTCGCCGGGCAGTGGATGGCTGCTCATAGTGGCTCTTGGCAGTTCACACCGGCTGCCGGCCGCTCATGCCGGCTGCCAGCCACTCACAGTAGCTTACGGCAGCCCACTGCAGCAGGGGCTGCAGTCTAGGCTGTTGCCGGCGACTCATGGCAGCCCAGCTCCAGGTCGTTTACCATCTTAGCTGTGGAGGGCAGTGTCACTGGCCCTCATGTGGGATCCGAACCAGGGCTTTGCTGTTCAGAGCTGGTGTCCCAAGCCAACTCTTAACCAAGCGCCACTTGGCTGGGCCGATCTGTATGTGTTTTTATATTTAATTTGGATTTCTTGTAGACAACATACATAGTTGACCCCTGAACAACATGGGTTTGAACTGTGTAAGTGTACTTTTATGCAGATTTTTTTCGTTAAGTGTGCAGTTCACCCTTTGTATCTCTGGGTTTCACATCCGAGGATTCAACCAACTAAGGATCAAAAAGTGTTTTCGGGCTGGCCGAGTGGCGCGATGGTTAAGAACTGGCTTGGGATGCCGGAGGGCCCCGGTTCGGATCCCACATATGAGGGCCAGTGACACTGCCCTCCACAGCTAAGATGCTGAACAACAGCTCAACCTGGAGTTGGGCTGCCGTGAGTCGCCAGCGACAGTGTAGGCTGCAGCCCCTGTGGCAGTGGGTTGCCATGGGCTACCGTGTGTAGCCAGCAGCCAGCGTGAGCGGCCAGCAGCCGCTGTGAGTGGCCGTCCAGAAGCTGGCGACTGATCTGCCTTGCTCGGGAAGAGCACAACGATGGTGCCAACTTGGGCCAGTGAAGCAACGTCCTCCATAACTAGACTGAAGAACAAAACGACAGCAACTTGCTGTTCCCCTTCCCCCAATTCCTCAGGGCTGTTCCCATCCCCCCAATTCCCCAATAAAAATCTAAAAAAAAAAAAATGTGTTTTCAATCTGCAGTTGGGAATCTGCGGATTCAGGGATGGGCAACTTAAACACGGAGTTTGGACTGCTCTGGAGTCGGTTTCCCTAACTCCCACGTTGTTCAAGGGTCAACTGTAGTTAGTGTTCCCTCTGAAACTTTTCACAAGCTGAAATGGTATAAAGCGAAGAGTATTCCTCGCTTTCTGCAATTTCGCATTAGGCCACTTCACTTTTTTTTTTTTTAGCTGATCCATCCTGCCACCTGTTGGCAGCTCAGCTCCTGCCAGGAATTGAACCAGTGACCCTCTTGCCCAGAGCTCATGCTCTTAACCACCCGAGCCACTAGGCCAGCCCATAAGTAAGACTTTCTTATGTGATAGAATTTATGTCTCTAAATCTTGTCTACCCTCAGCCTCCAGCAATTGTCAGTCACAGTTTAAATTTTCCTACCCTGGCACTGGTTCTTATGGAGGTTTCTGCTATAGTAAGGTTTGATCTCCCTGTCTGTCTCTCCAATTTTGGGAGCATTTAGTGACCTAACTTCTTTTACAGATCTAAGAAGAGTTGTTGTGTTGTTTTTAGTTTTTCTGATTTTTACTTGTTAGGATGAAACGGCTGCTTCTGAGCTCCTTCCCGACCAGACTGGAAACCAGATAGTGTCATTTTTAAAGCTTTCTCCCCTTAATTAAATTGTGATTTGATGATATAAATGTATACCTTATTCTAGACTTAAAACTATTATATATAAGAAGATGCAGTTGATTTAAATAGTTATTATTTTGTCTAGCTAGTTTTTTCTTATTAGTTTGTGGGTTATAAAAACTAATGTAGTGTTTCGGTGATTTTTCACCTTGCCTAATTATTGGTAAAACTGAGGCCATTGGCAGTGAACCGCCAGGCCCTGTTCATTCTTCTGCCATATATTTCTTCTTCAAGGTAATTCCCTGACACTTGTTCTTGTTCTCATCCCTTTTAGTCTTTTGAGCCCTTATTTTACCCTTTTTTTTCCTCTCCTTTATCTTCAACTTTTCCTCAACTGGTTGTTTTTCTTTAACTTGAAAACACGTCCAACTTCTCATTCATTCTGAGTAACTACCCATATCCACATCCCATCATGGCTCGATTTCTTCTCTCACTTCGTCAGTCAAGCCCTTTGAAAATTATTTAGCAATATTGGCTCCCTAATAGAGGAAATAGTGTGATATACAAACAAAAAAATTTTTTAACTGTCTTGTCTACCTTATACCTTTCTATATTTTTAAACTTTTTAAACTTCAGCATATTTTTTTATGATTAAAAAAAGAATAGTCTTATTTGCATATTCTTTGGTGAGGATTAGGAAGTGTGGTAGGAGAAAGGGGTTTCATTAAGTTAAGATGCTATAGCATATAAAAATTAGGTGGCGTTCCCAAGTGGCATTCTAAGTCAATGGAGAAAAGTGGATAATTTAATAGATGCTGTTTTAACAATTGACACTTGTTTAATGATTTGTTTAAAAAATAGGGCTGCAGCCTACATTATTTACCAAAATAAGTTTCAGATTTAAATTTTGGCCAAACTGAAAGAAAACGTAGATGTATATTTCATGTATCTCAAATGAGAAAGACATTTTTTATGTAATCTGAAAAAGTAAACACCAAAGATTGTTTTTAGTGTATAAGAATCTTAAGTCTTATTTCATAGACACATTGAAAACTGAGACAAATGTCAACCTAGGAAAACTAAAAAACCCTCAAATATCAGTGTGGCTAAGAACCCTTAAATATTAGTGTAAGTCTTTTCTCTGCCCTTTCAAAATTGGGAATGGCGAAAGTATATTAATAGAGAATTTATACTATAAATATTTCAGTGTGACTATTAAAAATGGTCTTATTAATCAGAGAAGTGCCTGGTTGTCTTAGTGGCACCTCTTCTGTCTATCAAATTAGCAATAATTGAAGAAATGGGGGAAAAAATCAAATTTGAAGAATAAATACTCTAGGTATTCAAATTCTGAGTAGGGAAGTAAATTGATACTAAGTTTATGGAGAATTGGTAATATAACAAAACTTCCAATGTTTATATTTTTTGATCTAGCTATTTAATTTTTAGGAATTTTTCATAAGGGTATAATCAATAGGTATACAAATTTATCTGTATTTCAGTAAGTACTGAATATATACCACCTGCCAGATAATTTTTTATGTAATCTGAAAAAGTAAACAGCAAAGATCATTAGCAGACTTGGAGTAGCAAGCAGTACAGATATAGAAAAATGGATGGATTGAGACAACATAGAAGGTAGAACTGACAGCTCATGTTGATATTTTGCACATAAGTTTAGTGAGTCAACACACCATTGGTAGTAAAGGTGAGATTCAGTGTATGTCACAGATGAGATCCTGAGAAAGAAGAGGATTTAGGACCAACTCCTGGGGAAATCAGTGTGAGAAAGAGCCTGTGAAGGAGCTGGAGAAGGAATGGCCACTAAAGTAGAAGTAAGTCTAAAGAGAGCATGGTATCTTTGAAGTCATGAAAAGAGTATTTAAAGAAGATGTGTGTGATTTCAGAGTATTTTGGTCAGGTTTCATAAGAAAGAAAAATTGAAACATTATATAATAAACAATGGGGATTAAATTGTTGTAATCCATCTGCTGTCTCTTCTGCCCTAGATAAACACTTTATTCAGGTTTCTAATCAAATACCCCTTAATGAGACCTTACCTGACAGTCCTCTCTCTTATTGAATTTATGCCTTTGTTTCCTACCACCATTATCAACTAAGAAGAAACACTGCCAACTAAACAGGCACAGTGTTAGGGTATCTGTGATTTGTGAGATGTATACTGACTTTAGCTTTGTTAAAATATGATTTACTGCAAATAATTGATGAAATACTGTAAAATAGCACTCTTTCTCCCATACTGTTTGTTTGTCACCTTTCCTAAAATGCAGGCTTCATGAAGACGAGACTTTTTGTTGACTGCTGATTCCTCAGTGCCTGGAAGGTTCCTGGTGAATAGTAGGCACAATGAACAAATTCTGAATATGCATTTTTTTAGGAATAAAATAAAGACTTGAAAATATACTGCTTTGTAGACTGTTTTTTTTCCCACTTAGTATATTGATTTTTTTCTTTGTCCTTGTATAGTTTACAAAAATAAGATGTTTGATGATTGTGTACTCTTACCACATGTATATAACATTATCTGATTGTGTCCCAGCATTCTGGATATTGGAGCTTATGGAAATAAAAGAATCAGGGTGTGGACTTGGTTTATTACTGGAAGAATTTAGTTTTTATTTCTGCCTTTTTAATTCCTTGAATATAAAACACTTATCTGAAGAGAGAATAGTACCTGGATGAGGGAATCCTCGGTGTCTTAATAGGTCTGAAGTGCTTGATTATTCTTCCCCATAAAGGCTTTCACGTGGTAGAAGAAAGGTTTCTGGTATACTACTTCTTCCTTAGAAAAGCAGGTTTCTGTCTCTTACCTGTAAAGTGAGAGTGGCACCACATGACTTCTAAGGTTTTTACTTTTGTAAGTTACTAATTTCTGATGTTGCCTTATCTTGTGGTTCTTAAATTTATGTTTTATGATGAGAATTATAAAACATGAGATCATGGCTTTTAGAACATAGATGCATTTTCTACAGGCAATTTCTTTCACCTTTTAAGTGAACAAAAATGAAATATATTAATATTAGCCTTATTAGGACAGATTTTTAGTTCTTGCAAAAATTTTACAAAATGAGAACTTTTTATGTTTTTTAGAAGTCAATGAAAGGATTCTATTTTGCGAAACTGTACTATGAAGCTAAAGAATACGATCTTGCTAAAAAGTAAGTACCAAACTGTAAACATGGTTTGGTTTTCTAAAATTGATGCCTTTACCTCACTCATGTTCTTTGAAATGTGTTAAGGTAATTATTTTTTAGCAGTTCTTCCTAAGTATGTCCTAGAAATTAGGGATTCTTCAGCAAGACTGATGTTAAGGACTAGTCTAGATTACATGGAGATTGAGCCTGGAATATTTTCTGCATGCCTACCTAAGGCAAGAAATTGTTCGCTTAGAACACTTTTTCTAAAGATTGTCCTAGGTTAGAATAAAAGACAACCATGCTCATACCTTAATTTCTGCCTGGTTAGATATCTGGCACATGAATCAGCTGGTAAACAGCAGTGAATACAGAATTCAACTGTGATTTTTGGATAGGAGAATAGTTTGTATAAAAGAACTTTAATTGACTAAGTAGGTGACACTTTGAGGCCTTGTCTCACTCATAGGACCAAGAAGATTGGTGATCTGATTTCCTGATTTGGAGTAGTTTAAAGCAGGAAATTAGGAGGGGGGAAGATTATTAAAGGAGATGGAAGTGCCAATAAGGAAAACGATCGCACCTTTATTTAATAGCAGTATTGGGGCTGTTAACCCTTGTTCTTTATTAATGTGACACTTTTCTTCCATTGTTGTTCTGTGGTCTAATTTCTCTTATAACACTCACTGAGCCTGGAAGATGCTTACTTATTTTTAGTTGTTACTTGATTTAAGAAATGAAAATGACCTGCATTTGGTAGTATGTTTAGTAATTTTTTCTCTGCTCTATTTTAGCTGGGCATAGTACTGTTAGACATTTTTTTCTTGTTTAAAAGGTAAATACATTCTTTTAGCTATTTGGGAAATTGTTGCTCTTTAGTATTCTGCGTTATGATAACTTAAAAGTGTTTACTACAATCACTTTTTGATTTCTATGCAAACTCTTTAGTGCCTTACCAAAATGTAATCAGGAAGAAAAAAAGCAATTATGTGTTCATTTCTTATGTGTGGGTAGCACTGGAAAAAACATTTTGGTAATTATAGCATTTAATGATAAAATTAGTATGTTGTCAACTTTGTGTTTGTGTTTAAGTATTATCCATTTGTTTCTGTGGATACTTTTGCTTTATCCACATATTCTAGTTTAAATTGTGGTAGTCAATAATTAGAATAACAGTATAAATTACTGGTTGCTTTGGTTTAAGATGTACTCTTCAGTTAACATTTAAATATAATTCTAAATGTGATTATTTAAAGATTGCTTATTTTTATATTATTATTTTTAAACAGATACATATCTACATATATTAATGTGCAAGAAAGGGATCCCAAAGCTCATAGGTTTCTCGGTCTTCTTTATGAAGTGGAGGAAAACATAGACAAAGCTGTTGAATGTTACAAGGTAAACTATGTTTGACTAAAATTTAGGCTTTGCACAGCCCAACATGATGCTTAGAGTAATTTATATAATAAATAATTCAAATATATTTTATGGACGTCGTGAAAACAAGCATTGATATCAGTACTATTAAGTGATACAGCTTGAAACTGATTTTAAACTATTTGGCCCAAAGTACACTATAATTTATCTTAATAGATTAGCACTTGTAAAAGCACCTATAAATTTTAAGTCTAACATGGTCAGAAATATTGTTCTTATGTGTGTGGCTCTCTCTCTTGCCCTCACGCCTATCTCTCCCTCTCTCTCCCTCTCTCTCTCTCTCTCTCTCTCTCTCTCTCTCTCTCTCTGGCATTTACCTAATAAAAACATAATTTGTATTTAATTTCTCTTCAAACATATTCCAAGACACTTTAAGTTTAATTTTAACAATTTTGAAATAACATGTCATTTAGGGATAGAGTTTTTAACATTTATTTATTTATTTATTTATTTATTTATGCGTGCGTGCATGCATGCATGCAGGGGTTATTAGTGATACATTCTCAGGGAGGAGAATGGACCTAGCAAGGTGGGAGGGGAAGAGAGAGAGAATGAAAATGAGAGAGAACGAGAACATGTGGATGAGAAAGCTGGCACAAAAAGGGCCAGCTTTTAACTTTTATATGTAAGTGTATGTACTTTAGGAATCCTACTAATGTATTTTTTTTCTGATGTCAGCGTTCAGTGGATTTAAACCCAACACAAAAAGATCTTGTGTTGAAGATTGCAGAATTGCTTTGTAAAAATGATGTTACTGATGGAAGAGCAAAATGTTGGGTCGAAAGAGCAGCAAAACTTTTCCCGGGAAGTCCTGCAATTTATAAATTAAAGGTAAAAAAACTGAACAAGACATATAATAAAAGCAGTTGGGGAAAACTTAAGAGACAACCATTGCTAATATTTGGAGTTTAAATGGCTTTTCAGTAGCACACTTATTAAACCAGTGCGTGTGCAGGTGGCGAGTTGGTGGGTAATGGGTAAAGGTGGTCAAAATGTACAAACTTCCAGTTATAAGATAAATAAGTTCTGGGGATGTAATGTATAGTATGGTGACTATTGGTAACAATACTGTAGTGTATATTTGAAAGTTGCTGAGAGAGTAGATCTTAAAAGTTCTCATCACAAGAAAAAATAATTTGTAACTGTAAGGTAGTAGTTGTTAAGTAAACTTAATGTGGAAATCATTTTGCAATATATACATATATCAAATGTTGTATGCATAAAACTAACATGTTATATGTCAATTATATCTAAAAAATGGCAAAACATTTTTTTCTTTAAAACCTTTCTGAACGTATGCTGTCTTATTAGGCACTATTATGTTTTACAAATGGTATCTCATGTATCCTTATTGAATGATTAATATTTTAGGGATTTTATAGTTTTGTAGCTGGATGGTGGAGGTAAGATTTAAATTGAGCTCTGTTTGATATAAAATTTTTACTTCATTGGGTGAAAATTACTCATAAGATGACAGTTTAGGGTTGTTACAAAGGTTTTAAAGACTTATTTAAAAATAGAAAGGATTATGTTTTCCAGCAAAAGTAAAAAGTGGTTTTCCAGCAAAAGTAAAAAGACAGTTTCTCCAGGTAATTACTAAAAATAATGGGAAGTTGTTGCTAATATATTAACTGCTTCTGATTGTTATTTACTGAGTAAAATATACTGGTGTACAAAGTAACTCTTTCAGACAAAATCTTTTTGAATGTGCTAGGTAAATGGAATTTTAGGTGTATGTTGTTTTTAGCAGCTTCCCACCTCCCCATAATACATGTTTCTGATAAAATTTTTAACATTTTATTTTGAAATACAGATTTTTCACAGGAAGTTGCAAAGATTTTGCAGAGGTCCTGTGTATACTTCATCCAGTTTTCCCCGGTGGTTACATCTTATGAAACTATAGTACAATATTAAAACTGGGAATTGACATTGGTACAATGTGTCTCTATAGTTCTTTTGATTTTATTATATGTAGTTATTTGTGTAATCACCACTGCAGTCAAGACCTATTCCATCATCACAAAGCTCTCCCTTATGCTACCTCCTTTTATAGTAATACCTTCTCCTTCTCATCATCCATAACCTCAGTTACTAATTTGTTCTTCATTTTTTATAATTTTTAAATTTCAAAATGTTATTTAAATGGAATCATGCCGTATGTGAGGTTGGCTTTTTTCATTCAGCATAATGCTCTTGAGATCCATTCAAGTTGTGTGTATCAGTAGTTCGTTCCTTTTATTGCTGAGGAGTATTTTGTGGTATGAATGTGTTCTACAGTTTAACCTTTTACATTAACATTTAACTTAACATTTTAACCTAACATTTACATTTTGTTGTTTCTACTTTTGTTTTATTAAAATTGGGTATGAACAGTTGTCCACAGAGTTTAAAATCTTAAGTATTTAAAAAACCCCTAGAAGGGCCGGCCAAGTGGCTCAGTTAGTTAAGAACTTGCTCAAGAGTGCGAGCTCTGAGCATCAGGGTCACCGGTTCAATTCCCGGCCTGAACTGAGCTGCTGCTGAGCTGCCAACAGGTGGCAGGATGACTCAGCTAAAAAAATTAAAAAATGAAAAACCCCTAGAGATAAGTCCTAGTAACATTAAGTTTTTTTCTCCCTGTGAGAAGCAGTTGGGTTTTAAATGTTAATCTAAGTGTGTAGATTTCTTTACCTTATTATCTTTGTGTTATTCCTCAAACATAATTTCCTTATTGGTTATGATAATCCAGTCCATTTGGTGACAGTAATATCAAAGAACATATAATGGTAGGGAATTACTTTTCTTGCAGTGTGACAAAAGTTAGATGCTTCTGAAGCATCTTGATTTTCTTTTATATCTCTTTAAAGCAGCAGTTCTCAACCTTTCACAGGGGTCGCCTAAGACCATCGGAAAACACATATTTTCGATGGTCTTAGGTACCAAGACACGGCTCCTCTATCCGTCTTCAGGCCCACATGCAGATACGCCCTCATATGAGTACCCCGCGACCCCTGTGAAAGGGTCGTTCGACCTCCAAAGGGGTCGCGACCCACAGGTTGAGAACCGCTGCTTTAAAGACACTGTTGTCAAAGCTAAACCTTTATATATAACTGTTTAGCAAAGTAATCCTGTTTCTTAAACTTTAAGGCTTAAGGTAAGTAGTTTTTTGGCATTGATTTAATGAATGAAAATATTGGTATGAGATCTTGAGTATGAGAGTAGAATTTTTTTAAAGATTTTATTGGGGAATTGGGGGAGGGGAACAGACAAGTTGCTGTCTTTTTGTTCTTCAGTCTAGTTGTGGAGGACGTTGTGTCACTGGCCCATGTTGGTATTATCATTGCGTTCTTCCCAGGTGAGGCAGATCAGTCGCCAGACACTGGATGGCCGCTCACGGCGGCTCTTGGCAGCTCACGCCTGCTGCCAGCCACTCACAGTAGCTTACAGCAGCCCCCTGCAGCCTACGCTGTTGGGGGGCGACTCATGGCAGCCCAGCTCCAGGTTGAGCTGTTGTTCACCATCTTAACTGTAGAGGGCGCAGCGTCACTGGCCCTCATGTGCATGTGAACTGGGGCCTTGCTACTCAGAGCTGGCGTCCCAAGCCAACTCGAACCAACGCGCCACTGAGCTGGCCCCAAGAGTAGAATTTTTGAAAAGTATTCATAATGGTGTTGATCTTTTACTTACTTACTTTTAAACATGTACCACATTTTGCTGTGTATAATGCACTTTCGTGTATAAGGTGCACCCATGTTTTTGGTGTGAACTTTTAGGGAAAAAAATCTTTCGTTTTAATTTTTTGATTCAAATTTTTGTTTGTTTATATTCAGGTACTTGTTTTTTTGTATTATAAAGGATTTGTAGCATTTACTTTTTAATATATTACTTTTTAATATAATACTATACAAGATATTTAATATATCTTGTTATATATACATATATATGTATATATATGTATATATATATATATACATATATATACACACAAGAACTTTTATGTACTGGTAACAAATTTACGATATTTATACATCATGGAAGGCCAAGAACTCTTTGTCCTTGCAAGTTCATCGTAAGTTCAACAAAACCGATTGTCGTATTCCAGGATATTATTTTGCATACGGATAGCGTATTGATTTCTAGAGTTACATTTTTAACTCATAGGCATAAATAAAAGAATTAAAAACATTTACATAGATAATGGAATTAGCACTACCCATGTATAATGCGCATCCTTATTTTTCCCTCACAAATTGGGGCAAAAAGGTGCGCATTATACGTGGCAAAATATGGTAATTGAAGTCTAGGGATTTTTGCAGATATGGAAAGGCCAAATGCATGTTTATGAAAATAATCCAGAAGTAGGACAATGATTGGTAAAGGAGAGAGGATAATGAAAACAGAGCTCTAATGGAGAGCTTGGTCTTCGCTAGGTGAAGGGAGCAAGGAGAAGATGAGTATAAGTCGATAAAGTGGAATTTACATATGATGGCTTCAGTTTTCCCAGAAGGAAGAATTGTGATCATAAGTTGAAAGTGTGGGAAATTTGAGCAAAGAGGAAGAGTATGAAGTGACCTTTGCAGGGAATAGAGAAAGTGAGTCTATTAGAGATAAAGTAGGGTTTTCTCCTAGGCATTACCAGTTTGGAAGTTTGAGATTATGAAAGAGAATCTGTTAGCTTGCTTGTGATGTCCCAGATTTCCAAATGCCCTACCCCCAATTGTACAACTGTAATTATAAAGGTACAGAGAAAACAGATGGTAGGGTTCTTATAAGGAAAGATAAATGGAATTAATTGAGGGCATGTGTAAGCAAGTAGTAATTATGGATATTAGGGATTATGGCATTTTAGCTTGATGGGGGTGGGGAGGTCCACGGAGAAAGAAGTTTATGGAAAAGTAAAACTTGGTGATGTCAGTGTATTGAATAGAGCTTTTCATGTGGTAGATGCAAGTATACATAGCAGTGAGGATGTGTGAGCCTGCAGTGAGGTTGGAAGAATAAGAAGGGTGTGGACATGGTCTGACTTGTATGACCAAATCACATATTTTGAAGGCCTGTGTCAATGCCAAATGGATGGCTGAGGCTGGAGTGTAGAACGGCACCAACAGAGATGAGGTAATTAAAGAACTGAGAGGCCAGACTATTGTATATCTAGATCTTTCAATTGGTAATACCAGCGACAGTTAAGGATGAAGGAAGCGTTCTATTTCAGTAGCTAATGAAGAGGAATGGATGGAGTAGCTAGATAGCATGTATTTTAGAGAGCATTATGCACAGGTGTGGTGGGGAGATATGATTTGGAGGTGACATTGGGAGTGAGTAGGTCACAAACCCCCCTTTTTCTACTTTGTATGTAGGCTAGCAGAGAGAAAGTTACTGTGGCAGAGAAGTGATGGGGACTATCTTAAGTTATACCTCATTCAGTTAAGGCCAGAGGGTGAAGACACTGAGAAGATAGTGTAACAGTAGGAGTTCCAGTGTGGGAGCGTAGTGGGTAGGGAACTGAGTCAGAGCTAGCGAGATGCAGAGAAGTTTGAGGATAAGGAGCCTGGTATAGAGTTGATATGAGGCCTGCCTAGGCTTTTGGTGGTGACTGGGGTGTACAGGGATGTGGGGCCGCAGCCCTGGCAGCCTCTGAGGTGATATGGGCAACCTGTGCTAGTGTATCATCTCAGATGTTTCTCTCCACATAAATTTGTTGGGGTTTAGCTTCAGCCCTCTGAAGGTGCTAATGAAGTATGTGAGATAATATTTCTGGTGGTAATTTACTCTGTCTACCGAAGTTAGAGTAGAATGGTGCTCATAGGAACAGTAATGTGTTTAAAATTGCACAGGTGTTTTTCTAAATTAATGATTTTTTTTTAAATAGGAACAGCTTTTAGATTGTAGAGGTGAAGATGGATGGAATAAACTTTTTGACTTGATTCAGTCAGAACTTTATGCAAGACCTGATGATGTGTATGTGAACATTCGACTAGTAGAGCTGTATCGCTCAAATAAAAGATTGAAGGATGCTGTGGCCCACTGCCATGAGGCACAGAGAAACATAGCTTTGCGTTCAAGTTTAGAATGGAATTTGTGTGTTGTACAGACACTTAAGGTAGGTAAAAACTGTTGGGTCTCCATACCATTATATAGGCAATTACCATACATTCCTTTGTGTTTAAGCAGTGCCCCCCTACCCCAGACTTAAATTTCGTTCATTTACGTACAGTAACTGTGAAATGAAATTTTTACGAGGATGATTTCAATTTATAATGGGTAGATTGGCAAGATAAACATGATGACTATACATGTGTGTATTTGATGTTTTTATAGGCTGATGTAAAAATGGGGTTTTACAATATAGAAAAGAGTAAAGGAATTTGTAGGCATAAAGTGATCAGCTTGTAATACCTGGTAAGTTTTGTAACTTAGTGTTCTTTCTACAAAATAGGAATATCTGGAGTCGTCACAGTGTTTGGAGTCTGATATAAATAACTGGGAAACAACCAATAGCGACTTACTGCTGGCCTATGCTAACCTTATGTTTCTTACACTCTCCACTAGAGATGTGCAAGAAAGCAGAGAATTATTGGAACGGTATGTTGACTTAAGGAGAGTACTTAGTGTAAATTACAGGTTATTTTTGTAATAATTCAGTTTATTGGCCTAACCATCTTTATTGTATTATTTTTTCTGTAATGTACCCATGAACCACAAAGAAGGAATCTTTACTTCTTTTGTGTGGATATTATAATTGGTTTTGTATGACTTTGTTTGTTTGTTTGTTTGTTTGTTTTAGTTGGGCCATCCTGCCACCTATTGGCAGCTCAGCTCGGGCCTGGCATCAAACCGCTGTTGCTCAGAGCGCGCACTCTTGAGCGAGCTCTTAACCAACTGAGCCACTCGGCTGGCCCTTGTATGACTTTGATTTTTAGAGAGTTATGTAATTGTTCAGGCTCGATTAAATTATTCTTATAATTAATTTCCAGCTTGACATGCTTAGTAGTCAAGCCTGAAAATGAATGCTCTAACTACTATTCCATATTTTGTTTCAAAAAATGATATAATCTTGAGTGAAAATCAGAGAATAAACTATTTTCAAACGTTCTAGTATAAGCTGTTGGCATCACTAGTATTTCAGAAAACAATGTTTTAGCTTACGTACAGGATAACTAAAATATATCATTTTTCCGCTTTCCTAAATTTTGATTTTTGAAAACCATTATCTCTTATTAAAATAAATGCCAGTGAACAAAACATCACTTGAATTTACAATGTTAGTTTACAGCAGGGGTTGACTAGAGTTTGCTGGCCAAATATGGTTCACCGCCTGATTTTGTAATTAAAAGTTTCATTGGAACATAGCCATGCTTCTTTGTTATTATATGTGGCTGCTTTTACACTACAAGGGTGAAGTTGAGCAGTTGCGCCAAGATTGTATGCCTACAAAGCCAAATTAGTATGTTACCCTTTGTAGAAAAAGTTTGCCAGTCCCTGGTTTAGACTGTTGATTTATTTGAAAAGTAATTCTTGTTCCCCATCTGGCATGTGGAAAGTTCTTTTCACTGAGGTGTAGGGGGGTAAGTAGTTTTCTTGAAGTACTTAGTGTCCTAAGATGGTAGGGTAAGGGTAGTGTCCAAAAAAAAATCTAACTTGAATTTTTAGATTATTTTAGAAAATATTTAGGATATTTTGTTTTGTAAGGGTTATATACTCAAATATTTTTGGTCCCATGAGAAAATGAGGGTGAAAATTACATAATTGTTTAGTAATACTATAAAAATAATTTTAACTTCATGGTTCTGAAGGTGTCTTGAAAACCTCTAGGGATCCGTGGAACTCACTCACTGGAAGAAATGCCTGCTGCTCAGATTTCTTGTTAGAATCTATTTTAAATCATGTTTCACATTTGTATTGTGTTTCCATTCGCTTTTCATACAAAATGAAGATTCTGAAGGCCATTGGGATTTAGAAGCACTAATTAGTACATAGATTACAAATAATAGTGAGAAATACAATTTATTTTTCTCTGTAGTTATCCTTATAGTAAGAAGAGCAATTACGGTATTGACAACCCAAATATCTTATAAGTTATTTACTTACAGTTTGAATAAGGCATGTCTAATTTGAGAAGGTCCAACTTTGAATTAAATAATGAACCATATTATTGAGAAGAAACTAGAAAATATTTTAGTTTCCCAGCTTTATTCTGGTATATTATGAAACATACACCATAATCAGTAATCTTATTGTTTGATTTTTATACTTTCTGTGATGGAGGGCTAGAACTAACTGTTTTGAATTAAGACATCATTCTAGAGGTTAAGCTTGAAGTGTAGGAAGTATGTGGAATAGAAATAAATACTAGATGATTTATAATTTTAAAATAGAGAAGAATATGGATTATTAGGAATTCGATGTGGAATATGAAGCTTGAAATAAATTCCTTTATTTTGAGTTAAAATTATTCACAATGTAACATTTAATACCTTTTAATATTTTAATATTACAGTTTTGATATTGCTCTTCAGTCTGTGAAATCTTGTGTGGGTGGAAATGATGAGCTCGGAGCTACTTTCTTAGAAATAAAAGGACATTTCTACATGCATGCTGGTTCTCTGCTTTTGAAGATGGCTCAGTATAGTGATGTGCAGTGGCGCGCTTTCTCCGAGCTGGCTGCGTTGTGCTATCTCATAGCATTTCAGGTAAGCCTTTTCCAGTTTTGGGTACCAGTTTTGACATTTCACTGAAACTGTTGTATTTCACATAGAAGTGTGTCCTGGTGTATAATGAAAATGTGAATGAGCCTGTAGAATTAAATTTGGAATAGTTAATTTGGTTGGTGAAAAATAACAAGATTTATAGTATTGGTGAGGCTTGTGAAACAGGTATATTGATGCATTACTGCTGGCAGTCTACATTGTTGTGACTTATTGGAAGGCCAGTTTGAAGAGTTTCATCTTTTTACTCTGCCATTTCTGGGAACCTGTAGAAAGGAAATAATCTCAAATATGGATAAAACTGATTCAAAAAGATATCTATCTATCTATCTATCTATCTATCTATCTATCTATCTATCTATCTATACCTATACCTATACCTATACTTATATCTATATCTATATCTATATCTATATCTATATCTATATCTATATCTATATATCTTGGCCAAAAACCCTAAGTAAATAAAGTTTGGGGTATGGTTAAGTAAACTATGATAGAAGATTGTGTTTACCACAATTATTTTAGCATGTTAATTGAAAAACGTATATATAATGTGTATATTACAGTGAGTACAGTTTTTATGTTTGGTTTTGTGAGCTTGCGTTAATTCTGAAATGAAAAGAAATAAGCAGTATGCCCCAAATGCATTAAGCCCAGCTTATAAAACTTGTTAGCTTTCGAGAGTGAACTTTTGCTTGAGGGGAGCAAAAAGGTTCCCTGTAGAGTTGCTTTTATTTTATTTTATTTTATTTTTTAAGCTGAGCCATCCTGCCACCTGTTGGCAGCTCAGCGGCTGCTCAACTTGGGCCGGACATCGAACTGCTATTGCTCAGAGCTCAAACTCTTGAGCGAGCTCTTAACCAACTGAGCCACTCGGCCAGCCCCTAGAGTTGCTTTTAGAGGAGGCCTCTCCTTGTAGTTCATGTGCTATAGATCTTTGAACAAACACTGGTCATTATCAGCCCACAGTGTTAAGTGCTACTACTGGGTTGTCGGAAAAGTCATGATGCATTTTTGCAACGAAAAACATAGAAAAAATATGTCATGACTTTTCTGACAACCCAATATTTGCTCAGCAGAAGCACTTAGGTTCATAAGAAATATATTTATTAATGAAAATTAGTGAAGTTTATGAAGTTTGCTAATTTAAGCACTAAAAGTTATGATTAATATTTAATAGATTCTCAAGTAGCTGACAGTTTTATTTTTAATGGAAACTAAAATTTATTAAAGTTTTTTTAATAATATTTTTAAAGTTAACACACACGGTCAACTATTTTAAACTTTGACTTTTTTAAATAGTAAAAACTAATTCTCAATGCATTCACTCAAGTCTGCTTTCCTAGAAGACAACTACTGTTACCAGTTTCTTGGGTATTCAAAAGTTTTTATGCATATAGAAGCATGTAATACCCCTTTCTCTACTTTTAAAAACTGTTTTGCCTCAGTGGATATATATGCTTTATCTACAATATCATCAAATACCTTGCTTTTTTCAGTTTTTCCATTGTTCATTTCAGCACATAGACATTTACATCAGTCTCTTTCTACCTATCACATATTGTCATTGAATGGATATATAATGGAAGCCTCTTAGATGCTTGGATTTTACTTTTTCATTGGTTGTAAAGCTTAATTATCAAATGATTATAAGCGTACAAGGGAAATACAGACTGGTATAGAGGACCTTATGAAATCATGACAGGCTAACTTCTTTAATGACAGGGTTTTCAGACTCTTTATCAGGGGAAAGCTGTGGTTCTAATAAGTAATCTGCCTTTCAGCTAGGCATTCAAGTCTCTCTTGAAACATTTTATTAAAATGAGGAAATTTTGACTTGAGATGATGTGACTGAATGGATTCATTACTAATTAACTGATCACATATGATAACGGTTGAATAATTTTCTGAAAGAGCCCAGATTTATGAGTTTTGTGCTCTTCAACAGCTATAGACAAAGTTTGGCATCATGTTTAGAAAGCTTGTGGGTAAGAGTATACTGTGAAAATTGTTTCCTACCTCTGTTCCTTAGTCATTTACTTCTCTTCCCTGAAGGAACTAATGTTTTTAGTTTGTTGTGAGTTCTTCAAGAATTTTTTAATGCATATACAAACAAATACACAGACACACACTCTCCCACTCCCCTTTAAAAAATACAGATAGAAAACATTTTGTACATTCTATTTCTTTTGCTTTATTTCCATGAAATATACCTGGTGATGTTTCTGTATCAATATAGAAAGCATAGCATAAGGAGAGCATCTTCATTTGTTTTGATGGTTATATATTATTCCATTCTATGGATATATGATAAATAGTTTTGGGGTTTTTTAAACCAGTGCCCTAAAACCAAGATATTAGGTTACTTCTGCTTTTTTGCTATGCTACTTCAAATAATCCTGTAGTGCCATTTCACATGTGAAAATTTATGAGTGCAATAAAACTTCTCTGAAAGAATTGCAGGATCAAAGTATGTGCATTTATAGTTTTTAGAGCTATTGCTGAATTTCCAACCTCATAGAGGTTGTACCAAATTACACTCCCATTACCAATTAAGAGCGTCATTAGAAATTTAACAGTAGTTACCCCAGCTATACTCAAAAGGTTACTTGTAGGATATCTCCAGTAAATGCCTGTTGCCTCTGACTGAACGTTTTCAGTGATGGGCATTCACTACTTTTCAAAATAGCCCATTTTATTTTGTGATAATTTGGTTCTTGGCGCTTTCTTATATGGAGTAAAAATGTTTTTCAAGCTGTTGCTCATTGGTGTTTTGTTTTTTTTTTTCTTGTGCTATTAAAAAGTCTAACCCTCTTACAAGGTAATTTTCTTAATATCTGAAGGCAGCATATTGTGTTTTTTCTTTACCATTCTGTTTATTCATCATTCTTTGAGCTCTTCTCCATAGGATATGGCTTGAAGTACTTTTACTGTCTTGGTTGTTCCACTTTATCCCAGTGGTTTCCCAAATTATCCATGCTTTTTGAAAATGTACTATCCAGTGTGGTGTTTCCAAGTATGATTCCAGTGCTGTGTAAAGCCGGGCTGTCTTCTCTTCTGCTGTAGTTCTGTTTATGCAGGGCAGAAAACTTTTCTAAATACTACATTTTCCCAAATGCCATTGAAATGTGCTACTAGTAGAAAGTAATTTCTCTGAAGCGCTCTTTGCAGGCATCTTTTACAGATTATCTCAGTTCCTTTTTTCCTAGTTTTTTGTATTGGTTTTCCAACTCAGTTTTAACGATTGGTTAACTTTATGCATTATCAGAAAAGCACAATGTGATCAACAGGAACATCGGTTAGAAATATGGGTATCACTAAATTAAGACTTGTGATTGTAAAATTACCAGGTTCCAAGACCAAAGATAAAATTAATGAAAGGAGAAGGTGGACAAAATCTGCTGGAATCGATGGCCTATGATCGTCTGAGCCAATCAGGTAATAGTAATGTTTAAATGATTTTATTTTAAAAAGAAGACAAGAAAATTTTTTTAAAAAGAAAAAAAAGGAATGTATCTTATGATAATGTCTTCTCTCTGTTCAGGAGATAATTTGTGATAATCATTTGTTTCTCTTTGCCGTATTGGATTAGGGCAAGAGAACACAAAGAATTAGAAGAAATGGTATATTCTGAAAAAGGAACAAATATTTGATATTGTTTGCTCCCAGATGGAGAAACTCCTTAACCCTTACTTTATCTAGTTGCTAGAGCAGCAGTTCTCAACCTTCCTAATGCTGCGACCCCTTAATACAGTTCCTCATGTTGTGGTGACCCCCAACCATAAAATTATTTTCGTTGCTACTCTATAACTGTAGTTTTGCTACTGTTATGAATCATAATGTAAATATCTTTTTGTTTTCCGATGGTCTTAGGCGACCCCTGTGAAAGGGTCGTTCGACCCCCAAAGGGGTCGCAACCCACAGGTTGAGAACCGCTGTGCTAGAGCCTCCATCTGAATATTTTAAAACAGATCCTGAACTAAGAATAATTATTGGTTTGCCAACCTTTTAATATCATGTGCCTGAAAGACACTGCTATGAGGGAGACAAAGATGAAGAAGATACAGATCTATCTCTTAAGGAACTGACAGTTGGGAAGATAGTAGATTATACTCACATTCTGTTAGGCTCTTGGAATTTGTAGATTTATTCTCAGTTTTGACTATTTGGGATAGATTCTGAAGGTGTATTATGTTATCTGGTTTTAGTAAGGCAAAACTTCCAAGTTATTCATGTAGCCAGTGAATCAAGCAATGAACTGAAGAAGGATAATGCTTTCTGTAGGAAGCAGTTTTGACAAGAGTGAATGAACTTTGTAAAGAGCAAGAAGTAGTATTAAATCAAAGTTCGGCTGTTGGTGGTCTAAGCTTATATTGCTCTTCTATCCCACAGCCTCCTCTTTTGTGGGAGGTAGACTTTCAGTCCTTGAAGAAGTGATTCCATTTTTTTTTTCCTTATGTCTCCTGTCTACCTTTGCAGGGATGTCATAGGTGCCTTTGTAGGGTGTCAAGGTTAATAAAATGACCTGTGTTTTAATGTCTTTGATCTTGGCATTCCTGAGCTTGTCTCAGCAAACTTTGGAAAGAGATAATAGTCTGGTGGTAACTAAACCCTGACTGACCAGCAGAATTAACTCCAAGGAATGTTTTTGTTTGTTTTTAAACAGCTTAATTGAGATAAAATTAACATACTATATAATTCACCCATTTTAAGTATACAGGTTATTGGATTTTTAGTATGTTCATAGAATTGTGCAACCTTCACCACAATTTTAAAACATTTTTATCACCTCATAAAGCAACCTCATACCCATTAGCAGTCACTTCCCATTTCCCCCCAAATCTAGTCCTAGGCAACCACTAATTTTCTGTATCTTTAGAATTCTCTATTCTGGATATTTCTTATAAATTGAATCATACAATATGTGGTCTTTTGTGACTGACTTCTTTTCAAGGTTCATCCGTGTTGTAGCATGTACTAGAACTTTATCTAAGGAGTGTTTTTGAAATAGATTCTATCACCCCAAACCTGTGGAATCAGAATCTCTGGGAGTGGGGCCTGGAAATGAATATATTTTAATAGCTTTTTAAAGGATAATTCTGACCAGCCAGGTTTAAAAATCAGTGTATCAGTCAGATCAGAGAATTTGAGTTTGGGCCTACCCTCTTATGTCCACTTTTAAATTCCACACTTTTCCATTTAAAATATAAACACTTTTGGCATTTTTCACACACATTCCTATCTTCTTTTTTGTTTCCTTTTACTGTAGCATGTAGACAGATACTATTAAAGCTGTAATCTAGATTTAGTTTTTGCATAAGCACCCTTTTTATTGTCCAGATGTGTTTGTTGGGTTGAAGGGTTAGGTCTCAGATAATTGTTATTTCCCCATAAGGGATATGAATAAAACTGTGGAGGGATATGAGTAAAAACAATCTGTGTATTTTAAATGAAGGAAATAATTTGTTTTTCTATGAGTAAAAACAACCTGTGTATTTTAAATGATGGAAATAATTTGTTTTTCAGGGCACATGCTGCTAAACTTAAGTCGTGACAAGCAAGATTTCTTAAAGGAGGTTGTAGAATCATTTGCAAATAAAAGCGGGCAGTCTGCATTGTATGATGCTCTGTTTTCCAGTCAGTTATCTAAGGATAGCTCTTTCCTTGGTAGTGATGATATTGGAAACGTTGATATACAAGCACCAGAGCTTGGTGATTTGGCTAGATATGATATTGGTAAGTTGGAATTTTCAAAGGAAAATGTTTGCATCTTAATCCTTTTATATTAGGAAAAAAATAGAAACAGAAAGGGAAATAAATTGCCCATAATCCCATTACCCAGAAATAGTGACTTAATATTTTCCTGTATTCCTTTCAGGTTTTTTTGAGGGGGGGGGGTGGTGGTGGCATATGTATTTCTTCTAAATAGTTGTTTATACTGTACATATGATTTGTCTTTTTCCAGGAATTCTCTCCCATTGTATCTGTCTCTGTAAATAATGACTTTTAATGGCAATATAATGTTTCATGAATTTGGCCATCATTTGCTTGCCACTTTTTGTTGTTGGACATCTAAGTTTCCGTTTTTGTCTTTGTTAAAAATATACTGTGATGAGAACTTTAATACACAAGTAAAGTGTCTCCTTTTCAAATTTTTGAGTGGATACCTAAAAAACAGAATCACTGGGACAAACTTGATGAACATTTTAAGTCTCTTGCAAATTGCCGTATTGCCAGAAAGGCTGTACCTCTTCATGCTTCCAGACGTGCGTAACTTTTACAGTATTGAATATCTTCTGCAAGAAAAGATCTCTTTACTGCCCTAATGGATTCATGTAGTGGTATCCCATTGTTTTAATGACTACTGAAAGGGAAATTCATTGTTTCAAGATTTCTTTATTGGGTGGTGGTTCTTTATTTGGCACCTGTCAGATTTTATTTTTGAATTCTAGTAAGCCTCTTTTTTTTTCTTAACCTTGAAAAGAACTTCCTCCATAATAACTTTCTATTAAAATTCCTAGATACATAAAATGTGAATACCTTTAATAAGAACGTGGGACTTACCATAGCAATTTCCCCCAGCTCTGATTTAGAAAATTAGTTATAAAATTAAGGTACATTGAATGTAAGTCAGTTGTTGGCAAAACTGATGGCACAAATGAAGTCTTCAAAACCTCAAGCCCCCTTTTCCCTTTTATTTCAGGTGCTATTCGAGCACATAATGGTAACCTTCAGCACCTTACCTGGCTTGGCTTACAATGGAATTCATTGCCTGCCTTACCTGCAATTCGAAAATGGCTAAAACAGCTTTTTCATCATTTGCCCCAGGAAACCTCAAGACTTGAAACAAATGCACCTGAATCAATATGTATTTTAGATCTCGAAGTAAGCAAATATTTTAACAAATTAAGTATTTTGGGTTTTGTTTAATTTTTTCTAACTTGAATTTATTTTTCTTTAAATAAAACAGGTATTTTTGCTTGGAGTTATATATACCAGCCACTTACAATTAAAGGAGAAATGTAGTTCTCACTACAACTTCTATCAGCCACTATGCTTGCCACTTCCTGTATGTAAGCAGCTTTGTACAGAGAGACAAAAGTCTTGGTGGGATGCAGTTTGTAATCTAATTCACAGAAAAGCAATGTAAGTAGTAAAACAAAAATATTCCTTTAACTTACTGAGTAGGTTTTTTATTTAAAAACCTATTTAATTTAAAAACTTATTCTCTAGATACTTAATTTTCATGTGAAGATTTAATTTAATTAACATGTGATGATTAAAATGTAAGTGTTTAAATGCATGTTTATAAATCAGTTTTATTAAATAAAACTTTTTAGCCCGGGAACCTCAGCAAAATTGCGACTTCTAGTTCAGCATGACATAAATACTCTAAGGGGCCAGGAAAAACACGGCCTTCAACCTGTTCTGCTTATACGTTGGGCACAGTACCTTCAGAAAACGGTGAGTTATTAAAGTGTAAGCATTTTTAAGAACATTACCTTATTTTTTAAGAAATTGTAAACTTTTCATTGAAAGTCATTTAGTTCTAAAAACACTAGCAGCTTATTCAGATTATGCCAGGTGAAATACATTTTCTTAATCTTGCCACATAGTAGTTAACATAGTTAATACATAAGCACTTAGAACAGTGCCTGGCACAGTAAATGTTATGTAAATATTAACTGTTATTACTTAATAATCAAGTAATGATAATTATTGTCCAGTCTGGAAATTTTTGATGTTCAGTAGCACAAAGGCTTTATAGCTAAGGGCTTATAGATCTTTCTAAATCTGTCCTGAAAGTCTGTTCAGAACTTTCTAAAAGTCTGTTCTGTGACAAGAGGCGGTGTAGATGTTTAGCCCTTTGATCAAACTGTGACACTTAGAGAGCAGCAGGTTTTGGCTGTTTAAAAATGGCAACTTTTAAAAAGTAGATTGGGCTGCCTATTGGGTTAGTGTCATTGAAAGTGTTTTAAAACTTGGGTCTAGAATGATCGTTGGTATTAAGGTGGTTGGTTAGTTATTGTAGCATTTGGAAAGTTGAGCATATGACTTGAGATTCTGTTTTGCCTTGATTTGAAATTTTAACCAGTTGTTTACACCACTTATAAATGAATTTTTAGATCTGATCATTTGTGTTCCTTTGGTTGTATGTTTCTAACTTTCTATTTTAGGGCAGCGGTCTTAATTCTTTTTATGACCAACGGGAATACATAGGCAGAAGTGTTCATTACTGGAAGAAGGTTTTGCCATTGTTGGAGATAATCAAAAAGAAAAGCAGTATTCCTGAACCTATTGACCCTCTGTTTAAACATTTTCATAGTGCAGACATCCAGGTAAGGGAGGGTCTCTTTGTGAATTAACTGGGATGTGGATTTCCAGCTTATAAACAAGGAAATGGAAGTATACGTAAATTAATTGCTTATTTGATGGTAGTCTTGTTTCCTAAATCCACTAGCTGTCACAAATAAAATATTGCAGAAAAGCTGAGATGTTAATCTCATTAGATCATATAAAATCTTTGGGAAATCATTTGGTTTGATATTCTGGGTAGAGGCAATTTGACTAAAAATTATTAAATGTGTTCAGGTATCTGAAATTGGTGAATATGAAGAAGAAGCACATATAACATCTGCTATATTGGATGCAGTTAATGGAAATATAGAAGATGCTATGACTGCTTTTGAGTCTATAAAAAACGTTGTTTCTTATTGGAATCTTGCACTGGTAAGTAGATGTGGTACTTGAATTAAAAGTTTTTTTAATTTTAAAAACATGATTGTTTCATAAAAGTATTCTTTGTGTAGATTTTTCACAGAAAAGCAGAAGACATTGAAAATGATGCTCTTTCTCCTGAAGAACAAGAAGAATGCAAAAATTACCTGAGAAAGACGAGGGACTACCTAATAAAGATTTTAGATGACAGTGATTCAGATCTTTCAGTAAAGAAAGTAAGTTGTAGGTTGTCTATTCTTTCTTATTATTGATAATTGGGCGATAATTATTTTTTTTTTTAATTTTTTTTTTTTAGCTGAGCCATCCTGCCACCTGTTGGCAGCTCAGCGACTGCTCAGCTCGGGCTGACTCGAACCGCTGTTGCTCAGAGCTCAAACTCTTGAGCGAGCTCTTAACCAACTGAGCCACTCAGCCGGCCCTGGGCGATAATTATTTTTGCCTTGGTTTTATATTTTGGTAATTTCCAAAATGCTCAGTAATACCGTATTAATGCCCAGAAGGGGTGTATGTGTAAATATTTAATTAGCGTTGCTTTGCCTTAGGGTTTGGTGAGTTTGATTTTAGATTGAGAGTCTAGTTTTATAGTGTTGTAAAAATACTTGTTGGGAGAATTAGGAAATGTTTCTAAGGTAGGACATTTATTTTTGTTATCGTGGCAATCTAATCAAAGCAAATGCTACCTAAAGACTAGTTCTTAATGAATTTCGTAGTTAAACATTTTACGGAAATCGAAAGTAGATGGCTGACAACTTACCGTTTCTTCTGTTCACCATCTGCTGTGGACTGTCTTTTTTCTAACTATCAGCAGTTTGAGACTGTCATGATGGTATTAACTTCAATTATATTAAATTTTACAACTATTTTGGTGATTAATTTGTGTTGCTGCTTTTGGATTAGGATTTATGTTGCCTGGTGCATTCTAGCATTTGTATTTCTCCCCCCATTCAAAATCAATTAGTGAACATCAGTAACTTATTTTGTTCACATTGAAAAATTTCCCAAGTTAACATTCTTCTGCAATTATTATGGCTAAGAGAAAGAATAGAAACAGCATAGACTTTAGAGTCAGAAGATTAAGTATGTACATAGCAGTTTCATGTCTGTTATTACATAAAGTATAAAGTGCTTGTTATACAAAAGTGAGAAAAAGGAATTAAATTAATATAATAAAAAAATTTCATTTATTTAAGAATTTTTATTTTGGTATTTTTGCAAACTGAGGCCCTTGATTATGCCTTTTGTTTTTAGTTGCCTGTGTCCCTGGAGACTGTGAAAGAGATGTTTAGTTCAGTCATGCAGGAACTTGATGACTATAGTGAAGGAGGTCCTCTTTATAAAAATGGTTCTTTGCAAAATGCTGATTCAGAAATAAAACATTCTACACCATCACCCACCAAATATTCTCTATCACCAAGTAAAAGTTATAAGGTAAGTGGGAAAGAGATGAATCACACTGCAGAATATGTTTCTGTTCTAAATGTTTTAAATACTGTTTTTTTTATTTTTTTAGTATTCTCCTAAAACACCACCTCGATGGGCAGAAGATCAAAATTCTTTACTGAGAACGATCTACCAACAAGTAGAGGCCATTAAGGTAAATCACTTAATTTCTCTAAATTGTGCCTCCCTTTTTCCAAGATTCCTTCTTTGACCACTCTCTCAGTTTTTTTTCTTAAGCTGTTCTAAATATCCCTCTGCCATGCTACTATAGAATCATACTATGCTTTACATACCTCCATATTGACACCGTATTTTTGAGATTACTTATATCTGCTCCTCCACCAGATGTGAATCCTTCAAAGGTACAGACTCTTTTATCCAAAACAGCATTGATCCTGGCACAGAGGAGGTCTCCAAGTGATTGACTTGAACTAGCGAAATACACTAATCATAACCTTGGTCTATGAGTTCATTTTTTAGACTGGTTGTGTGTGTCAAATTTATAGCTAGGAATTGATAGGTGGTCTAAGCTTCAGAAAATCTCTATCTTTTTAATACTTTAATGTGAATTTGACTTAATTATGTAAGGAATAGTTTTATGTACATGATCTTATTTTAACTATATGAAAGTGACCTTACTGTAAAGCTCAAAAGAGCTTTACTTCTTTGGAATTGGAAGTACAAATTCATGCTCATCGAGCAAGAACTAAATCACTCAAATTTCTAAAGTTACACCAAGGAAGTTGATATGTATATGATTATTACAGTGCTATCAGCAATGTGTGAAAATTAAAAAAATTCTGTTTGGTGGGGAACAAACTTGAATTTGCATAAAGATTTTGAATGTTAATTTTGGCCTATTATGATACTACATACAATCTTGACTTATATAGGTTTAAGGCACCCAACATTGTATTCTGTGGAAGGTTAGGGACGCACTAGTCCATGTGCCTCAAAAGCTGAGTTCTAGTATTAACTCTGCCACTAACTAATGATTTGGGACCAGGCCCTTGCTTATCTTTCTGTCTGGCTTTTCATCTGTTAAGTGAGAATTGTTGAAACCAGTTCTCATTCCATTTTCTAGTTTGAATTGTTAAAATTATGATTATAGCATTAACTGCATATTTAAAACTATGGTCCAAATACTGGTAGTGACCAGTGAAGTTTTCCAGGTGATTTCACCAGTTTCTTATTTATGATTGTACAGCATTGGGACTAGACACAGATGAATGGAGAAAAATTTATTTAGCTTGAAAATTTGAAAGATTTTTGACCCCAATAGTTATGGCTTTTGGGAAATTAGTATTTAAAATCCCCTTAAGAAGAAGGTAGCAGACATGCTAGATCTGTCTCTGACGTCATTTATTATAATTGGTCAGATACCTGGGCCGATATAGAGATATTTGATACTGTTTTCAAAAGGGACCTGTTGTCCGATACTACTATAGTTTTTTGTTTTTTCTTTCTTTTTTTTTCTTTTTTTTTTTTTTTAAGAAAAAGATATAGTTTCTTGATACATACCTGTTTTGTAAAGGGATGTTTTGTAGGTTCTGTGGTTGGGGTGAGTGTTGTACATAAAATGACAAATCTGATAGCTAGCCACATAGCTACCATTAGAAGACAATATTTCTGCGATTTTGTCTAGGCAGCAGAGTGGTGTTAAGAAAATGCTTTTGGAGTAAAATCTGGTTTGAATTCTTTCTCTGCCATTTCCTTCATCTTTTTTTTTCTCATTCTAAGGTGTAAATTACTATTACTAATGTAACTGTAAGGATTAAGAATTTAAGTGCCTGGAATATATTATTCTATACATAATATATTCTGAGCAAATATTAGCTGTTTCCCTTGACCTAGTGGAGCATTTGAGCATCACCTTGAAGGATAAGTGTTTTGTTACATCAGATGTGGATAAGTGGAAAGCTAGTATTGGAAGGTAATTTGGAATGTTGAGTAGTCCATTTGGACTAGGAATATGCTAGAAGGATATTTAGGATAATACCGTCAATGTCAGGGAAAGATGTTTAATTTGTAGGTACTTGTTTTATTGAGCATGGAAGTGTCTTGGCTAGAACTGAACTTTAGAAAGATTAATTCAGGCAAGTGTAGAATGGAGATGAGTTTACTCAGTTTAGGTTAGAGCTAACTCTTTAATCTAGTAATGAGTGAATTAGGTAATGATACTAAGGAATGAAAGAATGGGAGCAAATAATTCTTTAACAGATTAAGGATTATGTCTTAAATTAGCACCTGGTACTCAGATCTTTTGACGTGATATAATTGCTTAAAATTCTTTTTTTTTTCTTCTTCCAACAGAAAGAAATGCAGGAATTGAAACGAAATAGTAGTAACTCAGGATCCCCTCATCGCTGGCCTACAGAATGTTATGGACCGGAGTCAGTGCCTGATGGATATCAGGGATCACAATCTTTTCAGGGGACTCAACTAACAGGTGAGTTAGCAACTGGGATAATTCCAGATGTTAGTAAAATCTCTGTACTTCCCCCTCTAAATAGATAACTTGTGAAATCACCTTGTCTGTGTATATTTGTTTGTTTTCATGTCTATATATGTCTGCCTATGTGTTACTTAAGCTATATTTGGTATTAATGAGATAGTTTTATAAATCCAGGCAGAAATAAAACAAGCTGTGTCTGATCCTGTGTGTATAAAGACTTAAAGAACTCTTTGATGCACATGTCAGAGATGCTGAGACTGAGGTGGCATTATTTCTTATAATTGAAAAATGTTGACTGATATCGTTATGCATTAAGAGATGCCTGATTAGAAACTTAAACTTCTTGGGAATTATTTTGACGATATGCTCAGAGGAAATCTTGTTTGTTTTGAAATACCATGGTGTTACATAGAAGGAAGAAGTTGGTTTTTTTTGTTGTTTTTTAAAGATTTTATTGGGGAATTGGGGGAGAGGAACAGACAAGTTGCTGTCCTTTTTGTTATTCAGTCTAGTTGTGGAGGACATTGCTTTACTGGCCCATGTTGGTATTATCATTGCGCTCTTCCCGGATGAGGCAGATCAGTCGCCGGCCTCTGGACGGCCGCTCATAGCAGCTCTTGGCAGCTCACACCGTCTGCTGGCTGCTCACGCTGGTTGCCAGCCACTCACGGTAGCTCACGGCAGCCCACTGCAGCAGGGGCTGCAGCCTATGCGCCCTGGCGACTCATGGCAGCCCAGCTCCAGGTCGAGCTATTATTCACCATCTTATCTGTAGAGGGCAGTGTCACTGGTCCTCATGTGGGATCCGAACCGGGGCCTTGCTGCTGCTCAGAGCTGGCGTCCCAAGCCAGCTCTTAACCAACGTGCCACTTGGCCAGCTCAAGAAGGAAGAAGTTTGAATTTAGACCTTACTGGATTTCGAAGTTGTGCTGTATCACCAACCTCTCTGAACCAGCTTGTCTATTTGAAACATGGAGGTAATACTTGACTCACATCGTAATTGTGAGCATTTGTGTAAGTGTGGGTCTTTATTAGGTGTTTACTTACAGTGTATAGTAAACACAATGAACCAAAGGGTACTAATGATTCCTCATGTAGGTTGTCTGTGTGCAAAAGTGCTTTGTGTATGTAGTGTTACTTAATCACAGTAACCCAGAGTGGTATGTACTATTATAAGCCCTAATTTTATATATGAGGAGATGGATTTAGAAAAGTTAGGTAACTTATCCATTATTGTTCAGCTATTTATTGATAGAGCTGGGTTCAAACTCCAATGGTCTAACTTTAAAACCATTCCCAGCATGATACATTGCCCCCAGGCACCCAGAAATAATGACAAAAATAGGTTTCTTTTACATGAGACAGATTTTTGAAATGGTAGCAGTGCATATTTTTTTCTAATTGGTTTTAACTCAGGAAAGATTTAGAATGGTATGGTCTAGTTTAGATTAGTACATTTGTATGATAGTTCATAGGGCCATACTTATTATGGCTGCCCCACTGTCCTCTTGTGATAAGTGTCTTCTAAATGGCAGGCAAAATAATAGAAAATCTTTGTAAAATCAAACTTACTAAATGTAATAAGTCATAGATAAACATATGAGATGTCAAGAGTTCAAACATTGCTCACTATATAGAGCCTTGTATAGAGAAGATACATAAACTGGCTAGCCTTTTCTAGGGCTTTTTGAGTGCTGTGTGGAATTGATCATTTGGCACCTTTTGGGTCAGTTTCCATTTATTCTTCTGTGTACAGGCATAAAAGGCCTTCTGATTGTTAAACATGAAAATAACATTCACATTGTCTCATTTTGTTCTTGCAATTACCCTATGAAATGTGTAGAAGCAGCAAATCTTCATTTTACAATTGAGAGAAATGGAGACTTCAAATAACTCATTGACAAGGTCACAAAGCAACTTTGTGGCCTGAAAGGAGGAGAGCTCAAGTCTCCTGATTCCCATTCTTGTGTTCACAGATGTTGCTTTCTAAATGAAAGTAAAAATATACCACAGTGGTCCTCTTCTTTCTAAAATAAGATGATAAAAAATGATTAATAAGCTTATAGGAAATATTAAGACATACTGAACAGTGTAAAGAAATCTAAATGCTAACAGTGTCACATTGAGTTCTGTTAACATTTTGGAGCATTTCCTTCCGGTCCATTCTCTTTGTATGCATAAAGAAGTTTTAATGAGATTTTTACTATATTATTATATTATATGTAGATGAGTAAGCCTGTTTTTAAGTATTTAAGTTCTGAGCATTTTTCTATTAAATGTCTTTTGAAAACTATTATTAATGAATACAAGGTATCCCATCATGTGGAAGTACTGCAAATCACATTCCCTTATTTTTGTTATTTTCAGGTTTTGCTATTATAAATAATGCTGTGGACACATTCCTAGGATTGTAGGGTATTTAAAAAATTCTTCTGTATTGGGAAATTGCTTTCCAGAAAAGCTATGCCAGTTTACACTCTTACCATCAATATCTGATCGTGCCCATCTCTTTGTACTCTTGCCTAGTGTTAACTATCATCAGTTTATAAAAACCTTTGCTAACTTTTAAGAACAAAATAGTATTCGTTTTTAAGTTTTTATTTTATTTTTTAAGTTTTATATTTTATATATAGACCATATAAACTATGCTCAATACTTTATAATCTTTTATATTTCCTGAAAAACCTGTTTATTTGGTGCTTTTTGTAGTAGGTTTATAAGAACTCTTAATTTTTCTTTACTTTTAGAGTCACTAGTCATGATAAAGTCACTAGTGAAGTTTCAAATTTTATGATTCTTGGCTCATATCTGTCAGCTTGTTCTGTGCCTGTTTTCTCCCCAGAATATACCAAAATAACCATCTTCACCAGGCGGTTCCATTAGTTTCCTAAATTCAGATTTGGGCTTCTTCAGCAATTTTTTAGACTGGCTAGACTTTTCTAGGTCTATTTCAGTGCTTCCAGGAATCATTTGTTTAGCATCCCTTGGGTCACAATTTCCATTTCTTCTTTTGTGTGAGGGCATAAATAGCCTTTGAGTTGTTTTGTTTTCTGGTAAAACTTGCATAAAACAGATCAAGGAAGTGACTGTTGGTAGTTTTGCCATCAACATTGAGTGTCTTCTAGTTGTTGATTTCTTGGCAAAATGCACACAAAACAGGTGGAGGAAATAGTTTGGACATCAACATGAGTGTTAGTCATGATGTGCCCTTTTTTTCCCCCCAAGGAACACACTTAGTGTTACTTGTGAGATCTTTTTCCATGAATTTGTTAGGGGAGTTTTGACCTGAACATTTTTAGCTTGAGTTTATAAATGCAACCTTGTCGTTGTGCAGGTTTTCAAGGCTCACTTCAAAACATGGCCCTGGGGCTGTCAGATGCATTTTGGTTCCTGACTGGTATATTCCCAATATTTCTAATGTTGGACATGACTGTGCTTTCACATCATACCTATTGTTCTTAGAAAATGGATCAATTGCTTACTTTCTTGCTGTTTTGATGCTTGTTGTGAGGTGCTTGTTCTTGTTGACCACTATGGTGCTATTCTCTTATTCCCCTTGTGTCATATTCCCTAGCTTGTCATTTGATAATCTTCTTTATGGTATATTTTGATGTATAGCAATTTTAAAAGAATCTATGTAGTTAAATTTTTCTTTGATTCCTATTGCTTTTGTATTTATAGTTATTGCCTAGATAGTTTTAATTACAGTATAGATTTTTTTTAACAGTATTTTCTTTCTTTTTTTCCTTTTTTTTTTTTTTTAGTTTCAACTACTGGCCCTCCAGTATATTATAGTCAGTCACCAGCATATAATTCCCAGTATCTTCTCAGACCAGCAGCTAATGTTACTCCCACAAAGGTAACAAGGAATAATTTGTACATTTATAAATATATCCTTTTTAATTGTTCAGGCTGCCTTCAGAGAAACTGAAGAAGTAGTTTTAGTATTAAAACTTACGTGTCCCACAAGATACAGATATTGTAAATTTCTCACCAGATATAGAAGTTATACTTCTTAGTTATCTTATTTGTATGTTACAATAAGTGTGAACATTTAGAATATTTTTAAATGGGGGTGGTGATGGTGAGGGTGGGTGAGTCATTCATCATTTTGCTGTGGCAGAAATAGGACAAGGATGTCCTTGCTGAACCATTATATTGTAAGTATTTCCAGGCCTGAAGTGGCTATATTACAATAGTTGAATGTGAAGCTTAAAGACAGGGGACTTGGATACATTTAGACCCTGCCTCTTCTGCTCACTGTGACCTTGGGCAACTGTCTTAACGTCTCTGTGCATTAGTTGCCTCATATGTAAAATGAGGATAATAATACCTCAATTCATAGGGTTTTTGAGGATCCTCATTTTGAGGATTAAAATGAGATAATATATGTAAAGTACTCAATAAATATTAGTCATCCTTATTGTTAACATCATTTGACACATTACTTGGGAATGAAAAAGATATTTTATGCATTTTATGCATTGTAGGAGAATTAAATGTTTAAGATGCTGTCATTAGTTAAGGCAATTTTTATTATATGCCAAGAAGGAATATAACTATAGGGTCGTCGGAAAAGTCATGACTCACTTTTGCAACGAAAAACAGAAAACTACGTCATTTCTTTTCCGACGACCCAATAGTATCTTTGTAGTAATGTTGTCTTCCTTTAATGATGCACTACACTACCTAATGATATGTTTACCCATAATACTCATATTTGTGGTTTGTGAGAATTGGTTTGCATCTATTATAGTTATCTGTAGTTTTGTGGACAACCTACAAAATTTTTAACTTTTTTCTTTTTTAGGGTCCAGTTTATGGCATGAATAGGCTTCCACCTCAACAGCATATTTATTCCTGTCAACAACAGATGCACACACCACCAGTGCAAAGCACATCTGCCTGTATGTTCTCTCAAGAGATGTATGGTCCTCCATTGCGTTTTGAGTCTCCTGCCACAGGGATTTTGTCACCCAGGGGTGATGATTACTTTAATTACAATGTTCAACAGACAAGCACAAACCCACCTTTGCCAGAACCAGGTTATTTCACAAAACCTCCAGTTGCAGCTCATGTTTCAGGATCTGCAGAATCTAAAGTTATAGAATTTGGAAAAACTAATTTTGTTCTGCCTGTGCCAGGTGAAGGAATAAGGCCATCTTTGACAGCACCTGCACATACGACACAGCCACCTCCTTTTAAATTTAACTCAAATTTCAAGTCAAATGATGGTGACTTCACGTTTTCCTCACCGCAGGTTGTGACACAGCCCCCTTCTATGGCTTACAGTAATAGCGAAAGTCTGTTGGGTCTCCTGACTTCAGATAAAACTTTGCAAGGAGATGGTTACGGTGGAGCAAAAGGTGGTCAGACCATTGGACCTCGAAGTCCATTCAATTTTGGATGCAAAAATGTACCTGGAATTCCATTTACTGAAAACATGGATCCAAATCAGCAAAAGAATTCTGGTTTTCATCGAAGTGATGATATGTTTACTTTCCATGGTCCAGGGAAATCAGTATTTGGAACACCTGTTCCAGAACTGGCCAGCAAAAATCATGAAATAGATGGAGGAAGTACCCATGGTGGTGATGATGATGATGATGGCCCCCACTTTGAGCCTGTGGTACCTCTTCCTGATAAGATTGAAGTAAAAACTGGTGAGGAAGATGAAGAAGAATTCTTTTGCAATCGTGCAAAATTGTACCGTTTTGATGCAGAATCCAAAGAATGGAAGGAACGTGGAATTGGCAATGTAAAAATACTGAGGCATAAAACATCTGGTAAAATTCGCCTTCTAATGAGACGAGAACAAGTATTAAAAATATGTGCAAATCATTACATCAGTCCAGATATGAAACTGGCACCAAATGCAGGATCAGACAAATCTTTTGTATGGCATACTTTTGATTATGCAGATGAGTCGCCCAAACCAGAACAACTTGCTATTAGATTCAAAACTCCTGAGGAAGCAGCACTTTTTAAGTGCAAGTTTGAAGAGGCCCAGAACATTTTAAAAGCCTCAGGAACAAAGGTAGCCACAACACCAAATCAGGCTATGAGAATCATAAAAGAACCCACAAGTCATGATAACAAGGATATTTCCAAATCTGATGTCAGAAACATTAATTTTGAATTTCAAGTACCAAAGAAAGAAGGGTCTTGGTGGCATTGTAACAGCTGCTCATTAAAGAATCCTGCAACTGCTAAGAAATGTGTTTCGTGCCAGAATGTAAACCCAAGCAATAAAGAGCTCCTTGGCCCACAATTAGTTGAAACTGTTTCTGCTTTTAAAACTGGCCCAGAAAATACTCCAGATAGGTTTGCTTTGATGACTCCAAAGAAAGAAGGTCACTGGGATTGTGGTATTTGTTTAGTGAGAAACGAACCTACTGTATCTAGATGCATTGCATGCCAGAATACAAAGTCTCCTAACAAAAGTGGATCTTCATTTGTTCAGCAACCTTCCTTTAAATTTGGGCAGGGAGATCTTCCTAAGTCTGTTAATGACTTCAGACCTGTTTTTTCAAAAAAGGAAGGACAGTGGGATTGCAGTATATGCCCTGTCCGGAACGAAGGGAGCTCTGCAACATGTGTTGCTTGTCAGAATCCAAGAAAACAAAGTTCACCCACTCCTTCTGTTTCAACACCTGCGTTTAAGTTTGGTGCTTCAGAGATAAGTAAAACTCCAAAGAGTGGATTTGAGGACATGTTTTCTAAGAAGGATGGACAGTGGGATTGCA